CTAAATTCACATGAACCATAGTAGTAATTAATGATTTTTTTTATTTAAAAATTAAATGAAGAAAAAATTATTTCCAATCACCAAAAAAAATACAAGAAGCCAAGATGGAAACAAACCGTATACAAACCTAATGTTAAAAAAAACAAAACTTGTGTTACAAAGAAAAAATATATACAACCAAATACGTAAAGTGAAGCTGTGTTATCCTTTATCAATAAAAAACTGAGCACATTTTTGTCTGGCCGAATTCCAAACCATTCTTTACAATTTTCACATGCACCGTGGAATCAGCCACTTTCACAAATTTACAATCAACTACACCAGATTGCTCAAATAACCGCAAACCATCCAAATAGCCTCCCGAACGCAGCCTCCATGTTCCAACATATACCATAGATAAAAGTGTCATCCAAAAAACCGTTGCCTTGAAAAAAAAACATTACACAAATTTAAAATATCGTGATTTATATTTTGAACATTGCGCGATATTACTGGTTGTAATAACCTATCCTTACAAAATACGGGCAAGCATCCACTTTTAGGATCCAAGTAAGATTAAAAGAAAAGAATTCTATAGATAAAACAAAAATCTTCCCAATCATAAATTTGATTCATCAGTTTCAAAAATTCTGAAAATGCAAGTGAATTTAGAAAGCCAACTTGTCTAGTGCTAAAGATTACATCCATCCACGAATAAATGCAGATTTAACTCTCCGTTTGCTCCCTGACCCTTCGAATGGTGCTCCTAACAGTCACAGCACTTGCAGTGTTTAACGTGTAACCACTATAAATAGGGGAAAATAAAAGAAAAAGAAAAACAGCAATAGTAAGGCCTCCACAGAAAGTTGTTCAGCTGATCCCATGGCCCCAATTTCGTTTATATAGAAACAACGATGTACTCATAGTCCAGAAATCCTAATGATCCTGATATTTTGCTCTAATGTTTAAATATTTGATATCTTGAAAATATTTAAACATCAGATTCTCAAAAAAAAAAAAAAAAAGGAATCGGTAGAGAAAGTTATACACAAATAATGGAACTCACTGTAGCCATGTGCTTTTTTAGCACCCAGCAAGGTTTCAGACGTTAGCCATGGAGGAAGAGAAGAAGAGATAGAGAGAGACAGAGTAATGAAGACAGAACTGAAACTTCTCCCCAGTTCAAACGGAAAAAAAAAATAGCAACATCGTTCAATTTTTCTTGTTGGAATCATCTACTGCTTCACGCCAAACAACTGTTGCCTTAACCAAAGTAACTAATGCATAAAAAAATACAGAGGCAAGAGATAGAGAGACGAGCGAGAGAGAGAGATTGGGCAATACCTTCGGCCGAAGGGGACACAAGGCGCCATTGTCAAAGTTGGAGGGACCAGCAGGTGAAAAGGAAGGGAAAGGAGTAAAAACCCTAGTCTATTTACTGTTTAATGAACAATGCAGTAATTTTGTAACTTATCCAGATGTTGGGCTTAGAAATCTCAATCTCCACGTGGGTTTCATGCATCCGGATCACGTGGGTTAAGGGCAGTATATCATACGGGGCCGACTAGTTTAGCCCAACGAAAATCCAATCCCAAATAAAGAACCCAAAGCTGGAATATATGACCCTCGATTATTTTTATTCAATCTAATTTGTGATATCCACCTTTATCTTTTCAAACAAACACACCCATAAGGTTTATACAAAGAAATCTAGGGTTTCTAAAGAGGGGCGGGGCTCCTCTGCTGTTGGATAAAAACAACAAATTATGCTGTTTGTTAAAACGCTACCGTTTCAATCAATTTTGGCGTTAAAATTTCTCCAAAAACGACTCTGGAAAAACACTCTCTCTCTCTCTTAACATCCCTCAGCCAAAAAAAACTCTAAACTCTCTTTCTCATGGATATAAACTCTCTTCTGCACCAACTCTTTCCATTTGTACAAACCATTTCTCCCTCGCTCTTTCATTTGCAGGAACTTGGGTGAGCAGCAATGTTGTGCTTGCATTTTCTATTTAAAGGGGAGTGTAATACTGATTTCTATAAACATGAAAAGAGAGGGTTTTTTTTTTGTCGGGTGACAAACATTAATGCTCCGTTTGGTAGGAAGGATAAAAAGTATGAGTGATACACTTTCTATTCTTCAAGGATGAAAGGTAAAAATTATACATTTTATTTCTTTTGTGTTTGGTTAGATGGATGGAAAATAAAAAAATGACTCATTTTTGTTTTAATTTTTTTTGTGCTGACTAAGATTATAGGTGATAATCGAGTCATATAGTGTCAAATTTGTGTTGAATCATAAAATTATGAGTCTTTTATATTTTTTGTTTGCGTGTCAGGTCATTTTGAAGTTTGTGTCATAAAATTTGTGTCGAGTTTGAGTCGTGTCATCATGTTGAGTCGAAAATTTTCACTCCTAGTTAAGATAGAAAAAATATTTTTTTTAATTTTAATTTTTAATTTTTAATTTTAGTTATATATATACATATATATTTTATCATTGTATTTTTATATAAAATTAATATATATATATATTATATAAATAAATTAGATATATTTTAACATAAATAATTAATTTTTTATCCACATATTTTTAAATTTTGGAAGGATTAATTTTGATGAATTAAAAACAAAGTAAATCTAACTATTTTTTCATCATTTTTATTTTGTTT